GACATATCAAACATTTTCTCTACACTAGCCTGCTATGAATTGAGAAAAACAGCAACTGATGGTATATCTTTCGTCCTCTTTTTACTAATTATATTTGCATAAGAAGAAAGGAGGCAACCATATGATTTACAGTTTCTGTTTTATCATTCCTTCTATGTAATTCCTTGTTTTTGGGTTACAATTCTATTTTTGAGTATGTCGCATTTTTTTATTTTTTTAAATAATTTATAAGGCCAATTCCACTTTTTTTATGGGTGAAAATGGCATGGCAACCCCGCCTGCGCTAAAGGGATACGCCGGCGGAGCACCAGTGAAGGGTGATAGATGAGAATGAAAACAGGCCAGTTATCACATCATGATGAATTCGTCAGGAATTAACCATGATAGTTTCCAGGGGGAACCGCGAGGAGGTCGACCTGGTTGGGTGTATTGCTAGCAATGGGATTCTCAGTCTCCATTACTAACAGTCCCTTTCCCCCCGGCCAATTCCACTTGCCCCTACCAACGTTTCCCTAATGGGGGGGGGGGGGGGGTAAGAGTGAGATTTCCACCTATCCCCACTGGTAGAGATGCGTACACGTTTAATTAATGAATAATATATAAGAAAGAGAGTCGTAAGAGTCGACTAAGGGAAGGTGAGAGATGGGCAGCAGCGTCCCCCTTAAAGCATCACTAAAACCTGATTGCGGTTGCCAACCCGCCTGCCAAGCGTGGCAACTACTGGCAAAACAACCTCAAGCTTATGTTCAGCACTGGACACTTAAAGGCTGATATGATATGATAAAAGAAACATTGCCGTGTGGTCCCGGCATAGAATGGACCACCCCTTCTTTTCCCGTGGGTGTCGTAAGGGGCGACTAAGGGAGCATAATGGTCGAGGGATGGGCAGCAGCGTTCCTTTTTAAACATCATCAAAGCCTAACTGTGGTTGCCAATCCGACTGCCAATCGTGGCGACTACTGGCAAAACAACCTAAGGGGAAGGCCTATGTTCAGCAGTGGACAGTTAAAAGCTGGTATGATGGTGATGTAAGAAATACTATTACAATAAGAGACCTATCGCTTTTTTACCAGAGGGAGACTGTACAAAAGTCGTTTGCTTGGCCACCTCTGTCCCATTCGTGTTTCAACCGTGAAGCAGTTGTGTTTGCATGGCTGTGTTTCGGTTTGAAGGGTGGGATATGGCGTGAATTTACTGGGTACAGAGGAATAACACCCGAGTCCTCAGGAATGGTAACGCATGGGAGATATCATGAGCGCGGGTATCAGTTGCGGATGCAGCTAGTTCAGTTTTTTTTATACAACTATGGTGATAAACAAGCATACGGCCCGTCTGATGGTTAACAGTGTTACCGTTATCTATGGACGCCTGTAATAGCAGGGATGTCACGCGCGTGATTATTTTTTTTATACAACTCAGAATGGCAAACAAGCTGACGGCCCACCTGATGGAAAGTGGTAACCGTCGCCTATACACATGAGCAGTACCGTGGACATAACAGAGTATACTGTTTCGCCCATGGTACCCCCCATGCGTTGCCATTCCTGAGGACTCAGATGTTAATCCTCTGTACCTTATAAATTCACGCCATATCCCACCCTTCAAACCGAAACACAGCCATGCAAATACAACTGCTTCACGGTAGAAACACGAATGGGACAGAGGTGGCCAAGCAAACGACTTTTGTACAAAGTCTCCGTCTGGTGATTATATAAATGGATTACTCCATCTATTTACTTCTATATCCAGGTCAAAGCGGATGATTGATGGTATAAGGTAGTCGTAGCTAACTTTATGTATGAAACCATACATTGGTAGTAAATGACCCGTGTCTCTGTGGTGCTGTTCCGTTGACCGATTACAAAAAAGGGGGCCTGTACGCTGAATACTGTGTGTGCGAATTGTGAAGTGATTTCAATGAATATTTTTTTTCGAAATGGGGTTTTTTAATAGTTGCTAATGGAATGGTGTCTCGCCTGCGTTGTTGGTATACGCTGGCGGGGTACTAGGGAGGCATGGTAGGTGAGAATGATAAGGCAGGTCAGTTAGCCTATAGTGACGAACTCAAGAAGAATCAACCACGATGGTTTCCAGGGGGAACCGCGAGGAGGTCGACCTGATAGGGTGTATTTTTTTTTTTAATGGATGATAATGGTATGTTCAGTTAGCCCAGTTGACGAATCTAACAATAAATTAATCACGATAGTTTCCAGGGGGAACCACGAGGAGGTCGACCTGACAGGGTACATTGCTAGCGATGGGGTTACTAATCCCCATTACTAATAATCCCTTCCCCCCAGTGAAGCATGATAGGTGAAAATAATATGGCAGATCAGTAAGCCCATCCAGACGAGTATACCTGGAATGGGGGGAGGGGATTGTTAGTAATGAAGACTGAGAATCCTATTGCTAGCAATATACCCAGCCAGGTCGACCTCCTCGCGGTTCCCCCTGGAAACTATCATGGTTAATTCCTGATGAATTCATCATGATGGGCTAACTGGCCTGTTTTCATTCTCATCTATCACCCTTCACTGGTGCTCCGCCAGCGTATACCATTAGCGCGGGTGGGTCTGCCATTCCATTTTCATCCATAAAAAAAAAGTACATCTGGAATTCAGCAGGATGGATGTTTCCAGGAGGGACCACTTGGAGGTCGACCTGACAGTGTATATTGCTAGCAACAGAGTTACTAATCCCTATTGCTAACAATCCCTTTTCCCCCCACTCTATGGGGGTTGACCTGACCATAATACAACGCTTTCGCCTTTATCATACAATTTGTCATACACGTCGTATATGAAATGTAGAAGGACTACGTTAGGCTACGTTTGATCCCGGTCAATAAGCATACCCTGGTCACACAAACGAAGTCACGGGTAAATACTAGTTAAATGAAGATTGCATTTATATAAAATTGTAATCGAGTAAACCCGTGGTCGGAGCATAGTATGTCTAGATGAAAAGAATGGGATTGTACTTGTTAGTGCGTGAAAGAGACAGCTATATTATTATCTATGTGTTAGATAAAGACAGGAATACAAATTAAGGACCTCAGTCTTGTAACTAAAAGGAAAAAGATGTAACTGCCATTTTTATAAGGATATTTTATTGTATAGTTTAATTTATCGCCGTCGAAAGTATCCGAGTTCATACAACCCAGAGGGAGATTTTACAAAAGTCGTTTGCTTGGGCACCTCTGTCCCATTCGTGTACCTATCGTGAACCAGTTGTGTTTGTATTGCTGTGTTTCGGTTTGAAGGGATATAGTAATAGGGTATCAATGAGGTAGCGTATTTAAGAGGGGCATTGCTGCTAGAATAAACAAACCCGAGCATGTTAGTTCCCGGGAATACGGGATTTAGACCTGTCTGTGAAAATTTCCGAGATTAGCCAAATACAGTCCCGGGATTTTCGAGACCAGAAAAATTTATTTATTTTGTGATACATAGGTAACAATGGATGTCAAACCAAGATAAGTCCTCTATGATCAATCTCACCTATCGAGGTATACAAATTCGCAATTATATAAGAATATATATATCTAATATATAAAATTCTCGTGTCGCGGTGTTTGTTACTAAATTCCTCCAAAACGGCTTTATCGATTTTTATGAAGTTTTGTGTGCATATCGGGTAGGTCTGAGAATTGGCCAACATCTATTTTTCATACCCCTCAATGATAAGGGTGACCCACTCGTAAATATTTTTTTTATTTTTTTGACAAAATTTTTTATTTTTATTATGATTTAGCATTGAAAAATACATACAAATTCAGCTTTCACGATCAACCCCTGTTTTTTAATCGCGATTTTTATATGCCGCAATAGGGTTGCAAGATGGCGATCAAATATAATCGATGCGATAAATTTTCATGTATAATTCTCGACATAATGTATATGGTAAAACAACGTTTGCCGAGTCAGCTAGTATATATATAAGAAAATCAACAATACCACATTTACAGTAAAAAAAATATAATATTATGAAAATTTATTGCATTTATCTCCAAGGAAATCGTCAATTGAATAGTATGTTCTGTTTACTAGGTATTCATACAGTTTAGTTTTGTATTTTTTTATGTCACCTATGTCTGTGAGAGATTTACGTAATTTATTATATATTCTAGGTGTCATCCCTAAGACACGTTTTATTCTTTATTGAACATATTTCAAAAAATGTTTGGTACAAAGAAGGATTGTTATGTATGTAATATGTAGGTAGTTTTTTTATGCAACTTATAATGGTAAACAAGCTGACGGCCCACCTGATGGAAAGTGGCAACCGTCGCCTATAGACATGAGCAGTACCATGGACATAACAGAGTATACTGTTTCGCCCATGATATCCTCTGTTATTCCTCTGTACCCAGTAAATTCACGCCAATAGAAATATAATTATGCGGTGCAATATTGAAAATTATTGTAGATAATTAGTTCCAGACGTTCAGAAGATGATAATGAACTGCTTTCACAGCACTGCAAACGAACATGCGGCTTCCCTGATGGTAAGTGATTACCGCCGCCCATGGTCACTAACAACACCAGATACATTGCAAGTGAACTGCCGGCCTTTTAAAAAGGAATATGTTATGAACTAAAGTAATTGTATATTTATAAAGTTTTTATTAATATTTATCAGTTACGATTAAATAATTAAGAAAAGAATTGTCTAGTTCCGACATTTTCTTTTAATGTAAAACGCGTACTTTCAGCGGGAACCTGTGGCTCTATAAAATCTTATATGCAATTCTATACTTTAACTTCAAGCATTTACAGCCTAGAGTCCTCTGCACTAAAAATCAATCCATGAAAACCTATCACACATTGGAAACTCGACCTTAATGTTAGCGTAGTACGACCAGATTTCTATAATAGCCAGTATTGTGGTTTGATAAGGGATGTCCAGTAAAACGAGATCTCCCCCGACCCTTATGACGTTGTACAATCACGCCTATAAAGGGGGAACACTCGTTTATATCAGAGGTCATGTATATCTGGACTGTTCGAAGTCAGATTTTGAATTTGGAATTGTGCGTGGTGAAACTCAGTAGTCGCTGGCCGGACTCGCACGCGTGAGGGCGTCTCGTCCGAGATAATTTAGAAATTTTAAATAAAGAAATCGTTTTTTTATTTTCACGCAGAAGATGGATGGGTATTTTTTGAAGAATATAATTTAGAGTGAGTATTTTGATGTTTAATTGGTATTTTAAATTTTTTTATCCCATAAAAGTCAATAAAACAAAACGTAACGCTGTTAATTTATGGAATTAAGAGAAATATATTAATTGATCGAATAATTAGAATTCATTTCTTAAAAATAGATTGTCTATGGTCCATTGAAAAGTCTTAAAGTATTTCGAGCGAGAATTGATGTGTGATCGCAGTTTGATTGATTCAGGCCAGTGGTTTTCAATCTTTTGCGTGCGTGACCCCCCTTCTCTGGTAAAAGAGCCCCCAAATTTTAATAATTTATTTTCTTGAATGAAAAAGGAATAATAGCCCCGCCTGTTCTGTTGGTTTACGCTAGCGGATAATCTTTTAACAAAAGGATTCTACCTGTTTATTTATTTAAACATATTTTTTTAATTAATACTTTAAAGACAAAGATTTGATTTATTGCTTGTAACGGATAAACTAAAAAAAAAAATTAACCGATTTTTAAAAATAATATCAAAATAAAAACTATCTTATCTCTCAAGTTGGAGCATAAAATAGGTATTAATAATATTTCATTAACATCTGTCGAGCAGTTCAAAGATCGGCAGGAACGAACTACGTCGCACGGGATTTTTATATATTAAAATTTCTGAGGGCAAAACCGCCGCAGACAACTAGTTTATAGCATTAACAGAATTTAAATTGACATAGTTTTTTTTTTTTTTTCAATTAATTTAATCTTTGTTTCTGATTTTTACAACGTTTGTATGCGATAGCATCTATCTTTTATCTAGTTTATAACTGCGATCCATTCTCGGAGACTTTAAAAGGGTGAATATGGAATGGTAACCCTGCCTGTGCTATGAGCATACGCTGTCGCCAATGAGAAACGATAGGTGAAGATGAAAAGAGGCATGTTGGCTTATCGTAATGAATTCCACAAGAATTAAGCACGACGGATTCTAGAAAGAACCGCATGGAAGTCGATCCGACAGGGTTTATTTCTAGAAATAGACAGTTAGACTTTATTAGATACCAGAGGGAGACTTTGTACAAAAGTCCTTTGCTTGGACACCTCTGTCCCATTCGTGTTTCTACCGTGAAGCAGTTGTGTTTGCATGGCTGTGTTTCAGTTTGAAGGGTGGGATATGGCAGTAAATTTACAGGGTACAGAGGAATAACACCCGAGTGCTCAGGAATGGCAACGCATGGGGGGTATCATGGGCGAAACAGTATACTCTGTTATGTCCATAGGACTGCTCATGTCTATAGGCGACGGTTACCACTTTACATCAGGTGGGCGGTCATCTTGTTTGTCATTCTAAGTTGTATAAAAAAAAAGATAGATAAATTGTTTATTCCTCATTACAGGCACATAATTTATGCATTTATTTTAGTGAAGCATTACTAATAATTATTTTCCCCTTCTCGGAAATTGTGACCCCTTGGGGTCATGACTTTTAGTTTGAGAAACACTGGACTAGGTTATTCATTAGGTGTAGTTTAAATACACACGGTCCTAGGTTCGATGCTTTGTAATTGTATACGTAATTAATATAATGTAATAATAAAAAAAAAAAAAACATACATCTTAGAATGGCAAACAAGTTAACGGGCCGCCTAATGGAAAATTGTAACCATCGTTTATGCACGTGAATAGTACTATGGATGTCACAGGATACACTGTGACACCCATGGTATCCTTTATGCGTAACCATTTCCGAGGATTAAGTTATTACGACCCTTTACCCTGTCACTTCAAAGCAATATCACATCCACCCTTTCAAACCGAAACATAGCTATAAAACACGAGTGGGACAGAAGTACCCATGCAGACGTCTTTTGTATTGAGTCACCGTTAGATAATAATGCTGTTTTGTTTTTATCCGACTTACAAATTTGAGGTTTACGGTTCAATTGTTTTTTTTTTTGTGTATATTAGAAATATTGTTTGTGCAAATTATAACTCGATTTCGATGATTACTTTTTAATTGAAAAGGTTTTCATAAGAGCAATAGAAACCGTGTGGTCCCGGCGTAGAATGAAGTCACTCACTTTCTCGTGGGTGTCGTAAGAGTCGACTATAGACGGGCGAGGGATGGGCAGCAGCGTTCCTCAAATATCACCAAAAGCCTAACTGCAGTTGCCAACCCGCTTGCCAAGCGTGGCAACTACTGGCAAAACCTTCCAAGGGGAAGGCTTATGTTCAGCAGTGGACAGTTAAAGGCCGAAACTGGAAAAAGTTCCGTCGAATGGTGTATCTGCTTTTTTTTTAAATACATATAAGAAATAGGGTGACGTTTGCCATAAGTTAACTAACTAAATTTTTTTTAGGGGGGAAAGGGATTGATAGTTAATGGAGACTGAGAATCCCATTCCTAGCATTATACCCAACCAGGTCGACGTCCTCGCGGTTCCCCCTGGAAACTATCATGGTTAATTCCTGATGAATTCATCATGATGGGCTAACTGGCCTGTTTTCATTCTCATTTATCACCCTTCACTGGTGCTCCGCCAGCGTATCCCGTTAGCGCAGGCGGGGTTACCATACCATTTTCATGGATCAAAATTTTTCGTCGCGCCTCCCACCAAATTGTTTATAATTACTCCTTTCCATCCAAAGGTTGCCTGCAAGAGATCGCTCTTAGCGATAAGGTCGCCCATTGTTTTCTCACTGTGATCATTTCTTGTACTTGTTTGTATCTATAATAAGTTTACTATTGTAATCTTATGGAGGGAACAATAAAGAGTATCTATCTACATATCTATCTATAAGCGCCCTCAGTCGTCTCTTACGACACTCACGGGAAAGGAGTGGATGGCTCATTCTATGCCGGGACCTACATGGCTTAATACACCCTTTTGGGGGAAAGGGATTGTTAGTAATGGGGTCTAATGAACCTATTGCTAGCAATACACCTTATCAGACCTGATAAGGTCCATATAAGGTGAAAAGGTTCCACTGGAAACCATCGTGAACAATTCTTGTTGAATTCGTCACGACGGGCTAACTGACCCGTTTAATCCTCACCTATCACCTCTCACTGGTGCCCCGCCAGCGTATACCGATAGCGCGGGCGGGGTTACCATTCCATTATCAGCCATTAAAAAATTACATCCTTTTTAAAAAACCCCATACTGTGGGAAAAACTCTAGGGAAAAACCTTAGCAGGGAGCTCGTTTCATACTTAACTCGTGCCACTCGATACAAAACAGCCTACGGAACCATCCATTCCCTTAATTTACAAGGCGAATTATATTTTTATTGGTCCATTAATGATTTGCAGTCGTCTCTAGAGAAATCTGCCGGAATCCATTGAGTTCTCGACTTATCTCTCTCGTCCTTTATCCACGAATACTATGTGAATTGAGATCTCTAATTCGTAGGAGGCATTCATTTTTTAAACTAGACTAGTTCTCGCCGGCTACTTCGTGCGCTTGGCTTTCCGAAATAGGAAAACTGATTTAGAATGTCAATTATTCGAGTCCAATAAAACCAGATGATAATATACAATAGAATCGCGATTAATCGAATCGAATAAAACCAGATCATAATATACAGTAGAATCGCGATTAATCGAATCGAATAAAACCAGATGATTATATACAATAGAATTTCGATTATTCGAGTCGAATACAACCAGATGATTATATACAATAGAATCTTGATTAATCGAATCGAATAAAACCAGAAGTTTTTCGTATAATCGAAAATCCGGATAATCCGAAAGGTCAAATCAAACAAAAATCAAGTTTTCATATTGTGATTTTATTATGTAAAGGGTTTTAACATATGCACGTTATTTAGACAATACGATATAAAAAAAAAAATTACGAGCTAAAAAGACAATTGATTACATAATACATATTTACTTAATAATACATAATATATTTATCACTGTTTTATATATTATTATTATTATATATTTATACATTACATCTCTTGCACACATGTCTCCGTGAGTTACGTATTTAGGGCCTACTGAAACTCAATGTCGTAGCTTCAGATTTGAAACTGCGACATATGCTGAGTTAGGTCCTTTGCACAAACACTGTGCTACATTCATTTAATTTTTATATATGTTTTTCTTTTTATTCTAAATTAAAAGTAAAATAGTAATGTTATTATATAATTGTGTAATTTATTTATTTATTTATTTATTCATTAGTACATATATATGTGTACATGACGGACTTAATGCTAAAAGCATTCTCTCCCAGTCAACCGTAGGGAAGTGTCAGAATACTCGAATGCTTCAACATAATAATCTTCATTATTATGTTGTTTTGTTATATGTAACATGTATAACTATGTTGAATGAACGACTATCAAAACGTTTATTACATCTAGACAGAAAAAACCTCAAAACAATGATAGGGACAATAACGGGTCATTGTCCATTAAACAAACATCTATACACAATAGGAGCCACAGACAGCCCTCTATGTCGAGGCTGTTTCGACGCCGAAGAAACGGCTGCTGTGAGGCTGTGGCCCATCAACGTTTAGAAATCCTCGGAACTGTGAGGTCGCTCCGTGAGGCCTGTGAAGAACCCAGGAAGCTTCTGCGCTTCTGGACGGAGCTAGGTTGGCTGCACTAGCCACGACTCATACGCACAATGGCCCAAATGAGAGGCTAAGTGCGGAAAATGGAGTCCTTTTCACATTCACATTCACATATATGTAACATGTATAATTTATATTATTTCTCTTAAAGAGCGATTGTATTTAACTAATGATATAATTTAAATGAAAGGTTTGTTTAGTGTATGTGTAAATAAATAAATAAATAATAATATTACTTGCCTCCAACTTGCTGGAGTTTCGTCGAATGACCGCAAGGTGTTTTTTTTTTTTTTTTATTTTATTTCAATAGGTACACATTACAGAGAATTAACATAGTTACATTAATTTATAAACTACAATTATGTTTTGTTCAAGCTAATCCTCCAAAACTTTGCGTACACGGCATGATCAAAACATGAACACACAGCTAAAGTCTGTAAACACAATATAATTTA